TGTGTGTGTGTGTTGGATGGGGAAGATGTTTATGTAATGGTGTGTTGTTGTTGTCGTTGTCATGTTGTTGTTGTTGTCGTTGGATATAACTCTTCCTGTTTGTTTCAGAGTCTCACCATCGTCACACTTTGCTGCATCAGAAATAATCCGAACCGTCCCGAGCAGCAGAACATCTGGTTCCTCAGTTCAGATCCAGATGTTCCAAAGAGGCGGAGTCACAGAGATTTGACTTTGATAAACTTAAGTTTGAGTTCAGTGTGAAACCACTGGAGCTGGTTCACCACCAAGGCTCATGGGTAATTCCGTCACTTTGAGTCCCTGCAGACTCACCGTGTTACGTAACTCCAGCTGCTCATCTGAAAACTTTCTGTGAAACTTTTCTCTGCGTCAGTGTTTTCAGCCCGAGTCTCCGCATGCTGCCACCTGCTGGTGGGTCCACACGTCACACCTTCAGGCCTGAGAGGGAACATTTTTAATCTTCACTCTAAATTAAAATAAAACTGATGAAGTCATCGTTTGAACCGGGAGACATCTGCTTCAGATTCAACCGCTGAAGTCCTGAGGGCTGAACGTTCGACTCCTTCACTCACAAGGTCACAGGTTCGAGTCCCTGGTTTATTTACACTGAGCTCTTGAATTCTGGTTCATGGAAACGAAGCCTCGTGAAAATAAACCAACAAGAGAAAATCAAATATGAAGTCAAGTCACTTCAAATGTTTTAATAGAAAAAATGACTTTTTAAAAAATCAATGAACACATTGAAATCACCAAACCCCCACCACCACAATCACAGTGCACGGTCCACGTGCACGCCACCACAGGTGAGTGCTTTCCAACACCTTCAGGCCGAGAAGCCGCGGTGTCCGCTGGGTAAAAGGATCTCTGCAGCTGGAACATCTGGATGTGTGGGCTCCTCTTCAAGCCAGGTACAACCCCCCCCCCCCCACATCGGTGCTCAAACACGCTCCTGCCGTCCACACGTCTCGTTCTGTCGCCAAGGAGGCCATGGTCAGTGGTCAGTGTCCGGGAGAAACAGTCCGAGGTCCCTGAAGAACAAAATCACACGTCAGAGGATTTAGGTGAAAATATATATTTTTTTATTCTCTTGGATTTTTGTGGGAAAAAAAGAGAAAATATTGATTCCACGTTATTTTAAACTCAATGTAAATAAAACATAAAAGAAGAAAATTGAATCAAACCAAACATCTCAGAGAATCTTTATTTCAAATCTTTAACTTGTTCAAACTGACGTCATCCACTGGCTTCAACATTCTGAGGTTTCTATTGATCTGTTCATTTCTATTAATTAGAAATTCTCTGAAGTTCCATGTGTCAGAATTCTGTCACTTTAACGATAAAATCAACTTTATCACTAAAACACAAAGTGACTCTCTGCAGCTCAGCGCCCACGTGTGTTCAGTGGAGGAAGTGCAGGGGAAACTTTCTTTAAAAAGGGAAAAGTTCCACTTGGTGAGTTTGTCTTTATTATTATTCTCTCTTCATATTATTGACTATTTGTGATTTCATGTGGTTTTTTATTGGTGCTGAAGGTTCAACAAACATTTAAACCTTTTAAATCCTGACAACAAAAGAAATAAGTTGATTTAAAAGTTCAAAATAAAAATGTGACACTTTGAATTCTCTCTGGTCTCTACACACGTGAACACATGATTCTCTCTGGTCTCTACACACGTGAACACATGATTCTCTCTGGTCTCTACACACGTGAACA